TTAAATTTTAATTTTAAATTGTAAAACTCTTATTTAATATTATAATTAATTAATTTATATAGAATAAATGAAATTTTATTTTTATTTTTATTTTATTCTTTTTTTTAATAAATTTTTTTAATTTTGAAAATTATATTTATTTAATGATTAAATGTATAAAAATTGCAATTAAAATTACGTATATAATTTAATGTTTATATGTTAAAATGCAATCAAAAATAATGTATACAATATGCTATTTAGACGTAAAAAATGCAATCAAAAATAATGTATATAATATACTGATTAGGCATAAAAAATTCAACCAAAAATAACGTATACAATATACTAATTAGACTAATTAGACTAAAAAATCCAACCAAAAATAATGTATACAATATACTGATTAGATGTAAAAATCCAACCAAAAATAACGTATACAATATACTGATTAGACATAAAAATCTAACCAAAGTTACGTATATAATATACTGATTAAACATAAATTCTGTATTTTTTTGCATACGGAAAAAGTCAATTTTCAGTATCTAGTATATAGAAATATTAATCAAATATAACGTATACAATATACTGATTAAACATATAAAATCTATGTAAAATTATGTATAATTAGATGTATACATTCTGTATTTTTCTGTATACGGAAAAAGTCGATTTTCAGTATCTAGTATACAGAAATATTTACGAATTTATTATACTGTTTTTCTACGTTTATTATACATTTTTTAAACGTATTATTTCTGTATATTTTTCTTATACAGATTATTTATAGGATAATAAAAGTCATCTTTAATAGTTAAGATGTGTCTTTTATTATTATTATTTATAATAAAGTTACCTAACAGTTTAGATATGACTTTATTATCATATTTTATAATAAAAGTCACCTCTGACATTTCAAATGCAACTTTGTTATTATTTTTTATAATAAAAGTTATCTCTGACACTTTAGATATAATGTTTTCTAATAAAGTTACATTTGAACTGTTAGAAACAGCTTTTATTATTACATTTGATGACTGTTATTATTATTTTTCATAATAAAATCACCTAATAGTTCAAAGGTGAATTTATTATCATTTTTTCTAATAAAAGTTATGTCTAAATTATAAAAATGATTTTTATTAGTATTTAATAACCTAATATTTTAGATTAATTTGAAAATTTTCAATTCAAATCAGATTATTCAAAAGTTTAGATCAATCAATTTGGATTGACATTTTTTAGATTTATAATCTAAATTGAATTGAACTGAAAATCACAGATCAAATCAGATTGACCTCTAATTTGAATTGAACTGGGATTTTCAAAGCTTTAATTATGATAATTTAATTATATCTTATTAAATAAATTTGAAACTATTAGTTTACTTTAATAAATTTATAAATTTAGTAAAATTTAAATAATTTATAAATTTTAAACAATTTAAACAATCAGTAAAGTTGAATAATTTATAAATTAAAAATAATTAGTAAATTTATTAATATAGAAATCAATCAGTAAATTCTAATTGAATAATAATTATCAATTAAGTATTAACTAATTTATATCTGATTGTAGTATTTACTGATTTTTATCTATTAATTGCTAATCAAAAAAAAATAATCGGAAAGGTATCTGATTGATTAGCATTCGATCTGTGTGAAATAAAGATGATCAAAAGACTTATTTAAAAATAAGTCAAAATTGATAGGCTGTTCTATTTTTATTTGCCAAATAAAAGCAGCCAATTTAAAAAAATATATAAATATAAATTATATATTAAATTAAAAATACTGTGAATAGCAATTATTAAAATATATAAGTAAGAACCAAATAAACTTGTTTTAAAATTAAAATAAGGCTAACTAATAAAGTAGTAAAATATAGGAAAAAAGAAACTGCTTATTTAGCAAAAAGATTATTAAAGTTTATATAAATAAAAAGATTATACTAAATTGAAGAAAAGTACTAGCAAAAAGCTATCTCTAATTTCAATATAAGTATATTACCTTAAAGGAATTTATGTATTATGAATAATTTAGAAAAAATACTGGCAAAAGTTATCTCTAATATGTATTTGTTTAAAAGGAGTTTATCAATACTATGTATAAATAAAGGTAAAAATCTGTCTCTAATCTTAATTCAAGTGTATCTTTCCTAGAGAAGTTTACTAGTATTATGAATAAATTGTTATCCAACTATTGATTAAGCAGATGAAATACGTAATCAATTGAGTAGCAGCAAGATTTAATTTAATTTTTATGATAAATGTGAAGAGACTTTAGTTATATATGATTTCATTTAATATTGGTATTCTTTCATGACTAAAGTTTCTGAATTGGCAAGAATATAGACTTCCAATCCATCATATGTGACTTATAATTTCTCCTTAATATATTAAAAAAATACTCTAATGTCATTATAATAGATATATTATAATCAAATTGATGATATGCAGCTTAAGTATTTTACAATGTTAATACTTAAACTCGTTAATGACTCTGGTTGACTCAAAGTAAATTGGTGATACTAAATATGATTGATATAAAGGAGAGTTGACATAAAATAAGGTTAATACAAAATAAGGTTGACATATAATAAGGTTGATACAAAATAAAGTTGGTAATTATAAAGGAGATAAATAAGATTTTAAAATCTTTAACTTTCTGTTCTGCAATACATAATTGTAAAAAATTTTTTGAAATAAAATTTATTTTGATTAATAAATTATGATTATATAATTTTATTGACAACAGATTTATTATCTATTTCAATAATTGGATATAATTATTAGGATCAAGGGCTGATCATAAAAGAAGCTAATGCTTAAGAAACTGAAGAAATTATGATAAAAGTTTAAGCATCTTAACAAGAATGCTCAAAAATAATATTCTGGTTTGAGGTCAAAAAAAGGTGAATTATTGTTACTTTACAAGAGATTAAATATCTGTTTGATTTAGATACTGAGTTTAATAATCAAGATTGTTTGAAAAGTTTAAAAACAAGACAGATAAGATAATGCTACAGTTTTATATTATAGATAGTTATATATGTAATTTTAATTTTGCATTGTATAAAAATGATAAAACTAAAAAAAAATCTATGATAAAATAAAATAATATGTAATGCATTTAAGACGATCATCTATCTTATAGTAATAATGTTAAAATATATATTTTGTGAATGTAAAAAAAATAATTGATAATACATAATATAGTTCGTCATTAATCCCACAATCTAAAATAAAACTATATACAGCCAAGACTAGTAAAAAAAGTGGAGCGAATTTTATAAAAGCAAAATTATAGGCTGGGATTAAGCTTATACCTTATTAATAGAAAAGTGTGCTAATATAGATTTTAAGAGATCTAACCAAAGAAATTTTAGTAGGGATTGGGACCCGGGTAGAAATTGCTACTATGGAGATTTTCTCAACAGGTAATTATTATTTAAATTCTTCCATTAATAAATAAGGTGCGATCATCGATAACCAAATAATATAGTATATTCCCGGGACTGTAATGGCGGAAAAAAATAAAAATTTAACATATAAATATAGTAAGTCGAACAACATAGGTTACACTTCTTTTTACAAATCCGCATATATTTTGGGGGGCTTTTTTTTTTCAATTTTTTAAATTTCTCTTTCAACTTTTTCCCGAATTTTCCCCGATTTTTTTTTTCTTCTTGTAAATGATTTTTAATTTTCCTTTTGATATAATAGTTAATATCCTTAACTTATTAACAATACAAGAAATAATACAATTACGATTAGTTAATAAATCATATAATAAATTAATAAAGGAATACGGATATAAATTATATTTTACTAATCAAAAATGGAATATAATAATATCCGATCCTATCATAGAGAAACGAAATTCATCGTCCCTTTCAGCCGATAATTGGCAGCAAAGAGTTTCATTCGGATATATTACGCAACAAAATTGGAAGAAGAAAAAATTTTCTTCAACAATTATAACAAAATACCATGGTCAATCATTAATTCCAAAATTGAAATTTGATAAAGAAAAGTTATTATGTTGCGTAGAAAATTTCATTGAAATATATTACTTTAATAAAAATTCATATTCGGATTTTAATCATAGGAAAAAGAGGTTCATCGCACATAATAACGATGTAACCGATATATTACTAAGCGGAGGGAATGATGAAATATATACAAGTTCCGTGGATTCAACTATCAAAAAGTGGAATTTGAAAAAATTAAGAAATAATATTAATTATCGACAAGATTATTATAATCGACAATGTAATTTAACACCAAGAAAGACATTTAAAGGACATAAGAATTCAGTACAATCGATTTATATGTTTACAAATGATCCATTAAATTTATATTCAATAAGTTTTGATGAAACTTTGAGAATATGGAATACCGAAACAACTCAAAGTCGGCTGGAAATTCAATTACCTGGTAGACCGAAGGTTATTCGTGGATTGTCATCAAATAATAATTTAATTGGTGTTGGAAATAGAAGTAAAGAACATCTTACTTTATATTACGTTACACCAAATGATATGATTAAATCTACGGAAATAAAGGAACATCAAAGTACCGTTTATGATTTGGCTTCAAATCAAAATTTACCAAACACTTTTGTAACCGGATGTTATGATGGTGTCTGTAGATTATTTGATGTTAGAACTATGCAATGCGTTGCTTCTTATAGAGATCCTTACGATTATCATCCAGGTATGTTAAACGATTCTTTTGAAAAGGGGAAGGTTACATTGCGTAAACATTTAGAAATTAATTTGATTTGATTTGAATTTTCGTAGTATTTTCTGTGGATTATGATGCCTATAGGATTGCAGCCGGTGCTTCAAGGAATGGTTTAATTAGAATTTTTGATTTACGTTATAATAAAAATCATTATGATATTCATCAAGGAGTAAAGAAAGGTGTAAGAAATAATGATGGTTGGTCACTTTACCTTGGAAATAATCGTTCTCCTGTTTATTCATTACAGGTAAATCTTTTTTTATTATTATTTTTCTTATAAAGAAATATTTCATGTTAACAATTTTTTTTTTTAATCGATGTTGATAGATGGATCATTCAAAAATATTTGCAACATTATCAAATTTGACGTGGATGTTGGATTTTTCCAAAAATATTAATAAGCATCACCGTCAACACCATCATAAAATGAATGATGTTTCTTGTCTACATTATACCCATGCAAAAAAATGGCTGGGACTGGGATAAACAAAAACATCTTTCTACAAAGAAATGACCAGCATCAGGATCCGAGGTTGAATTTAATCGTTATTCTATGAGCATTTGACGTAATGACAAATGTACAAAGAGAAGGAAAATTAATCGAGAGACATTAAATAATTAGGATTCATGAAATTTTTAAAAAAGTTTCGTAATTTTAATAAAAACTTATATTTATTATAATTTAATGACGTTTTAAATGTAAAAAAAATATATAAATAATTATTAAATAAAATCGAAATCGCGTCCAAAATAGTTGCAACCGGTAATATTTTTTCTTCCATCATTTTAAAACTTTCAATAGTTTCGATAATCAAAATTGACAGAAATATGAAGATAAGTATTTGAAAGAATCTTAGGCCTTTTCAAGACGAAGGTAAAAGTATTTTTCATTAGAGAGCGTTACAATGTATTTTCATACGTATTTTTAATTGTATGCATTGAGTTTAGCTGGGGCATCTTGGAAACCACAGATAAAAATATATGAAAATTTTCATGCAATTAAATGAATTTATGGACATACAGATCGCATCTCGCTGTTACTATGAATCAAAAGTTTTCGAAAGATTGGATCAAGTAATCGAAAAGGATGTGTCAATTCTGAGGATAATCACCCAAAGAAATAATTTCTCTGGTTTTCTACAAAAGTTTTTCAGAATCGTTTTCCGTTCTCTAAATGATATTGAATGAATTAATTATGGTTTCTTCGTGTTATGCTTGGTATTGGGACAATATGTCAACTTTTTACTTAATGTAGCGGAATTAATTAAATATTTGCTATTTCTTTAGCTATCATAAATTGCTCAGAACCTCTTTTTTTCCGAGACTGCTTTGCGGACATTCCCACATTCATTTAAAAAAAACTTGTGATTGGTTTTTTGTCTTACTTTCATAAAATATCATATTTTTTTATTTGAAATTGTCGTTTAACCTCTATTTTATGCTTATTGATGATTTAGAATATACCCGTTACAGCATCTACAAGGTATTGGATATCTTTCCTTATTCTGTAGGACAAAGGTTATAATTTTTGTTTCAAAAAGAAAAAAAAATCGACAATATGGTTGGTTAACGGGATGGTTCTGCCCAACAATGAAGTAAAAATGAGAAAGCATTTGTAAAGAAACTTAACCGATCAAAGCGTAAAGAACTATTCAAGATCTAACTAAAGAAAACAAGACTTCTACTAATCAAAAAGTCAAGAATTGACATAATAATACTCCTACAAAAGCCAATAATCGACACAATTGGTGTAACGTCATATCTTTATGGTAAAAAAAAAGGTGAAACTTGTATCATCTTCTCCATATTCTCGAAGGTTAATTCAAACGGGTTTTTGAACTTGAATTTAATTAATTAAATGTCTTTTCTGGTAATGAAGAGATGTACAAAGATGCAAGATTTGATCAGTGGTTTGTACTTCAAATGCTCATGATATACCAAAAAGTATCAACAAGTCATTTGAAATCAAAACAATAGTATTTGCAAAGTTTAGAGTACAAAGCATATTTATTGTACAAAAGGATTGGCTAAAAATAAATAAAGAGAAAAAATGTACAAAGATGTTCATAAAGGAATCAAGGATGATTGTTAGGTATTGTTTGTAGATAAATCTATATAAATACGCCAGTAAACTGATTGTTTCTTGGTTAGTTTTCCACCACTCGAATACCTAAAGCGAAAACTCCCCACTTTCTTTATTCCCTGGAGGAAAAAAAAGACCAATATATATATAATTTTTTTAAAAAAAAAGAATAGAAAATATCTTTCGAGATAAAAACTGTATTTATATTTTAAAATAATATATTGGTCTTTTTTGAAGAAAAATAGTTAAAAGAAAGATAAATTTGGTTTTATTCTTTCTTAACTTTTATTCTCTCCTACAATACCTACCACCATCACCATCACCATTTCGAAGTAAATTAAAAAAAAAAAAAATACGCCTGGAGCGATATTTCATCTATAATAAACTAATTTATTGCATATTATAATATTTTAATAATTAATTTCATCATTCAATTTAATTAAATTACAAGTATGAGAGCTTCAAGCAAATTAATATTTTCAGTCTTGAGTTATTTAATATCAACTCGAATAATCACTTCTGCTCCGTTAAAAGAAATTTCTATATCAGACATTACTTTACAAAGAACTTCTAATATCATTTCAAATTCTTATATAATAGAATTTGATAATTTTCAAGAAAAAAACCAAGATTTTGTTGTTTCATTTGCAAGATCAATTCAAGATGAAGGTATAAATCATAAAATCAGAGAAACTTTTAATCCAAAAGTATTTAATGGAGCTTCCATTAAACTTGATAACGAGAAAGATCTCAATAAACTCAAAAAATTAAAAGCTGTTAAACGTGTTTGGCCTGTGGTAAGTAAGCGTGGCACAGTGACGCAGAACATCTAAGAAATTTTACTTACCCATTATTTATTTCATCAATTATAGACAATAATTAAACGAGCCGAATTCAAGGTTGTAGAAAATAAATCAAATTCTTCAATTTTACACAGTAATATTGGAGTCGTTGAAGCTCGCGAACAATTTGGAATTGATGGATCAGGAATTAAAGTTGGCATAATAGATACAGGTATAGATTATAAACATCCAGCTCTTGGAGGATGTTTTAAAAAGAAAGATTGTAAAGTACAATTTGGTTTTGATTTCGTTGGAGATGATTTTGATGGAAAGAATGAACCGAAACCCGACGATGATCCTTTAGATGAATGTGTTGGTCACGGTACACATGCAGCTGGTATTATCGCCGGTGAAGATTCGACCAATAACGTAACTGGAATTGCTCCCAAAGTTATACTTGGAGCGTATAGAATTTTCGGATGTAATGGAGAAACCACAAGTGAACTTGTTATTAAGGCGATGGAAAAAGCTTTTGAAGATGGAATGGATATTATTAATCTTTCACTTGTATCAGGCGATAATGCTTGGTTTGGAGGTCCTGAAAGTCTCGCTGCTGAAAAATTGACAGAGAATGGATTGTTCGTTGTAGCAGCTGCTGGAAGTTCCGGTGATAAAGGAATATTTAAATCTTCATCGCCATCCACGGCCCCCGGTGTTATTTCTGTTGCATCCGTTGATTCTGAACAAATTGATTCATTTTTTATAACTTGTTCTAATTCTACACGTAAAATTCAATATCTCACACAAGATGGCAATGTTCTTAAACTTGAAGAGGATTCCTTTTCAATTATTTCAACCTCAAATACTACAAACTCAAAAGATGATGCTTGTGAACCAATTAATGAAGACCTTACGGGAAAAGTCGCTTTAATTCGTAAAGGAGGTTGTGATGACAAAAAAAAAATCGACGTGGCTCAAGCTGCTGGAGCTACAGCCGTTGTTCTTTATAATGACGTTGATGGAACAACAAAACCCGAGTTTGATGAAAATGGAATCATAATTCCAGTTGCAATGATTTCTTGTAAAGATGGAGTATTCTTATTTGATGAAATTAAAAAAGACGATAATTTTACTGTAAAATTTCCAATCGAAAGCACCTTGTTCGATAATCCGACCACCTTAAAAATTTCAACGTTTAGTTCTTATGGACCTACAAATGAATTGGATATTAAACCTGATATTTCGGCACCCGGAAGTAATGTTTTTAGTACATTCCCAGTATCTCTTGGATCATTTCAAACTTTATCCGGAACAAGTGTTTCAACACCTTTTGTTACCGGTATTTTAGCATTGGTCATACAAAATAAAGGAAAATCAAATTCTAAACTTGCTCGTGATATCCTTCAAAATAATGCTAAACCGGTTTTTATTAAAAATTCTGAAACAGAAGTAGAAGAAAATAAAACTTCCATAGTTGCGACAACCATACTTCAACAAGGTGCTGGATTAATTAATTTAGTTGACGCTTTAACTTCAACGGTTATAATTTCTCCTGCTAAACTTGCACTTAATGATTCGGCTCATTTTAATGGAAAGAAAAGATGTCTCACTTTAACAAATGTTGGTCAAGAAACAACCAAGTTTACTTTTGATCATTTACCTGCTCAATCAATTACTGGTTTTGATGGAGTGAACTTAGTACCAACAAATACACCTCTTACAACAAATTCATTTGCTAAAGTTAACTTTTCAAAATCGTCAATTCGTTTACGTCCCGGTGAATCTCAAAATATTACTTTAAATTTTACTCCACCTAAAGATTTAAGTGATTTAGATCATCCCCTTTATTCTGGTTATATTGTTGTTAAAGATACTTTAACGAAAAAAGAATTTTATGTTTCTTACATGGGTATGAAAGGTTGTTTAGATAATTTACCAATAGTGGATGGTGCTCCTTTTATTCAATCTGGTATAAATGATCAAAAGTTTTCTCTCCCTGAAGACGTTTTAACTGTATCTATGAAAGATAATGATATTGCACTTTTTGGAATACGGATTGCTCAAGGAACTAAGATTCTTACAGTTGACGTAATACCAGCTGATTCTGATGATGATGTCAAAGAACCTGCTGAACCCACTAAAACTCCATCTGAAACTCCACCAACAGAAAAGCCAACTGAAACCCAACCGACAGAAAACCCAACCGAAATCAAACCGACAGAAAACCCAACCGAAATCAAACCGACAGAAAAGCCAACTGAATCCCAACCGACAGAAAAGCCAACTGAAATCAAACCGACAGAAAAGCCAACTGAAACCCAACCGACAGAAAAGCCAACTGAAACCCAACCGACAGAAAAGCCAACTGAA